TACTCCGTTCTAACCTATCCTGAGTTTGCTGTTGTGTTTTTGTTGAGCGTTAGTGCCTTAGTTTATCAGCTACAAATCAATATGCGGAAGGTTTTCAAAGGTCTGCACTGATTTTTTTCACATGCGGGTCATCTTTTCTGCTGTATCCTGCTCTGGAAGACAGCATATTTGCATTTCCCATAGCCATTTAAATCACAGTTTATTTGCTTTGTGTACGGTAGGTAAAGCTGGCAGTTGTGTATTAATGTCTGTGAGTGGATGCATTTTCCTGCTGAGCTTTTTTCCACAGCCTTATTACGGTTTGTCTTCTTGCTAAGGATACTTGCCAATGAGCGACCATGGTAAGATTTTTCACTCAGATGTCAGGACAAGAAAAATAAAAATAAAACCAACAACACTCTTTTCAGAAACAGCTTTTGCAAAGCAAATATGATCCCCCCCCTCAAATCCCACCCCCAATATTTTGCACTAAAGACGCTTCCATTCTGTGCAGAATTCAAGGTCTTTTGGGCAGAACGCAGAGGGGGGAGGTTAATCAAGAAATACTTCTTTAAAATATGTTGAAATGTGACAGGTGGACAAAAACTTTGGTTGCGTCAAGTGAGACCAGCATAAGCAAATAGAGTGGCCACTAGTTGCTTAAATGTGCTCCTAAAGGCTTCTTTATAAAGGCGGCTCCCAAGATTTCTTGTATCCTTTGAATTGGGCTTTTCTCTCTCCCATATTTCTTCCTCCCTTTTTGCACAGGATCTGGGAAATCTTACACCATGATGGGCACAGCCGACCAGCCTGGATTAATTCCTCGGCTCTGTAGCGCCCTCTTTGAAAGAGCCCAGGAAGAGGAGAGTGAAGAGCAGAGTTTCAAGGTGGAGGTGTCCTACATGGAGATTTATAACGAGAAAGTCAGAGATCTTCTGGACCCAAAGGGGTAAGGAGGTTGGGGACCACCTGGGCAAATGAATTGTACCTGAAGAGCAGAGTTTCAAGGTGGAGGTGTCCTACATGGAGATTTATAACGAGAAAGTCAGAGATCTTCTGGACCCAAAGGGGTAAGGAGGTTGGGGACCACCTGGGCAAACGAATTGTACCCAAATGCAGTGGTGCCTCGCAAGACGAATTTAATTCGTTCCGCGGTTAATGTTGTCTTGCAAAAAATTCACCTTACGAGATGCATTTTCCCATAGGAATGTATTGAAATCTAATTAATGAGTTCCTATGGGCAAAAAAAGTTAGAACAAAGTCAAATTTGGTTTACAAAGGGTTTATTAAGTGCTCTTTAAAGCCATACATATTGTGCAGATGATTTACAAATTTCAATCAAAAAACTTTAGCTTTTTAAACATCATAGAAAAACATTTAAAAATCAGCAAACATGAGGCAGGAACAAAAAACAGAAAACATTCGTCCTGCGAAGCACGGCCATAGGAACATTTGTCTTGCGAGTCATCAACCCCCCATTGCAAAAAAACATTTGTCTTGTGAGTTTTTTGTCATGCGAGGCGTTTGTCTTGCGAGGCACCCACTGTGTATTTATTCAAAATATTTCTACCCTGCTTTTCTCCTTAAAAAGAAGCCAAGGT